AATCCTTGCAACTGCATGACAAAATGCTTAGCACCGAAGCCTGTTGGGTTTTAAGTTGATTCCAAAAGCATCTATGCTGTATCTACAACAACGCGAACCATCGCTGATACAATACATTGACGTGTGCCACAGCGAGTCCTCATATGCGCATGACCTCTGACAACTGCTACAAGTGAGACTGCTCGTTTTGTCAAACTAGGACTGAGAAGCCACGAAGCATCTTATCATGGAGCAATAAAGCTACAATATGTGCACCGCTCGATGCTGCCAATCGGTCAACTTGGCGCCTAGGAACTCAGCGTCATGTTCCGATCATTCAATCAACAACCTTTCGAAATGGATCAGAGCAATGCATGTACCTCATTGTGACTGGGGACAAAATGATACGGTTTCATCTAGATGTTGGTACTATTACCACCACCATCATGATACTCAAGGAGTACTGTTATGGGGTATAAGTCCCACAAGATCATCACCGTTTGTCCATTCAGAATCTCTAGGCTTCTGCCACTGGACCCTGATGCCATCGAGATGATGAGTGCCTAAGACGGATCTTCACATCAGCTGAACTCGTCTTTACTCGAGCGGGGCTTACATCCATTCTGAACGTTGGCTTAATTCAGTATCTTCGTTTTATGTATTTCGACCACCATTGTTTCCTTTGCAGATGCAGCGCCGTGGAACAAGCAGCACAAGAACTTAGTCATCAAACATGTTGGCAGATGTTGATATGCCCAAATGGGTTCTTTTCTATCCGACATTACCGAATATTTTCACATCGTCGCCCCTTTCCTGATACCACTTTAATCGTTCTTTACTTGCAGATGCTCTCATCGTCTGCGTGCGCACTCAAGATTTTTGTTACACAAGCCGATCATGCCACATTGCAACACATTGATGAGTGCGTCTCTACTCATTGCTCAGTGCAGCTTATTCGTGAAATGGATAGAGTATTGCGATGACAGTTATAGCTCTGTCTCTCTAAAATATAATTTCACTTACATTCGGAGTGCTTAGGCTGACTGCAGTGTTAAGTTAAATGAACTAGATTGTCAGCTCTTACGTGTTACATCCCGGTCATTCGATCCCCTTACACAGTTGCTCCATTTACTCATTTCTCGGACCACATTTCAATCGACTTAACTTGGGTTTCAAGTTGATCTATCGAACGACTGCTCTCTTCCTGAAGAAAGCACCTATATGACTGATCCCTTCGTCTAAATTTGGGTGTGCTAGTGTCACTTTCAACAGACGGGAACTCTGGCGTGCAGTCGGAAAATTCCAATGCTCTTGCATTTTTTGCCGCTGTACCTCAAATTTTTATCACAATCCCACTTGCAAATACTCATTGGCTCTGGCTCGATGTGCTCCTTCCAACGCTCGAAATATCGCGCATGTACAATTACGAACTACCATTTCTCATCTATTTTTAAGTTTCTCATTTTTCTGTTGGGGCATGTACGCAGAATTTCATTCGCTTTGCATCCTATACCACAAATTGTGACCTTCTCTGAAAGCCCAACTTAAGGATTCTCTAGCTACTCCACAACTGCTTCTATCGGCAGCTGTATAAGGCAGCTACAGGCGGTGGTTTAAGAGATCCGCCGATAATTTCTACTGCTGTCGCGCAGCCACCGAGGCTGCCATCTTCTGAATTCTATCCACCGGCCACAAACCGCCAGTGCCCACTCCACGCGGCGCTCTGCCTGGATCGCTAATCCTTGTGTCGCTCCAAGACATGCCTGAATTTACATGCATCCGGTTGTGACCTGTCACGAGAAATCAGGAACTACCGTGATGACCCGACTGCTAACCGGTGTGTCATGGGGACGGTGCGACTACAACCTACGACTACGCAACGCGCTCGGCGTTGGTTGAAGGCTGGTGTTCTCAAAGAAAATTCGTGTGCGACTCGAATGCGGAGATTAGAATTGTTCGCTGCGTTTCGTTCCTTTTGCCCCTCACTGATCCATCCAATTTCTTGGAGTTACAATTTACTATTATCATACTACGTGTGGATTTCTCAGAGAAAGATCAACGGTTAGCATCAATTCTTACAGTTCCTTTTATTTTGTCTCAGTGTAGTTAACATTTGGTTTCCATCCCATCTGCAGTAAAGACGCGCTCGCTAAGAAAATTTATTACAATCCAGGATGCTTCTATTTTAGTTCAAAAGCTGATACAGCAGACTAGGCCGCCGTATGTCTCACTCGAGATGATCTATCTGTACTTGAGTTCTGGTTCCACTTGTGGCAGATGTCATTTGCCGTGGACAAGTGTAATCTCTTGTACAAATGCCAAGTACTACCAATGCAAGACACCTCCCGCTATACAGCGCAGTCTGCGAGTTGAACGTGTGATGTTCTGTTAGCTTCAACTTTTCTGAACATTGTGAATTTCAAGTGTCGAAGGCCGTGAAGACCATCGGGTACATATGTCATCACTTTTATCTCACGGAAGCTCGCATCTGGCTTTACAAAACATGTATATTACCTTGTATGGAATACTGCTCATTGTTCCAATCGATTCTGCGAAAATCTGAGAAGCATGATCTTGAGATGGTCCAGCAAACTTCACGAAAAAGCTATGCGGCTACTTCTCCAAGAGGACATACAAAGAGCGTTGTGATAAACTTGGGTTTGTCCCAGTCTGGCTTCCGAGAATGGAGCTCAGCCCATCTTCTTTACAGAATCATAAACTATCAAATTTACAGTCCTAATGACAGCGTTCACGTCTTTAAACGGCAGATACCCGATCCGTGACAATGAGATAAGGGTCACGATTCCAAAATTTACTACGACAATCAGAAAACATTTTTCTACTCCACTACTCAAAGATTTGGAATAAACTTCCAAGTGATATCAGCACATACTGTACACTGCATGATTTTAAGCTTGCGGTTAATAGACGATTCTATGTTTTGAACATCTCAATCCCTGAATAACACCTTCGAGAACGGTATCGATGGCGCCTGATTAAATTGCGAACAACACATGCACATAGTTTTTCGGACCACAGTCTATTTCGTTTCATTTCATTTTTCTTCCCGGTCCGAACATTTTTCAAATGCTTGTGAAAAACCGATTCATTGATAGGTGGAAAAAGCCAGGACAACAATTTTGTTTATCTTGTTTTACCTAAACTTGAAATTTGTGGCCAGATTAATTTTTTAAAAGATATCAGTGCAATAGTATGAGAAGAATCTAACAAATTTTGATCTGTTCCTTCTAAGGAACCTCACGAAATAGACAGTTTATTTATAGCCTTTCTCTTTATCCAGCATGCCGTGGGGCTCGGCCAATTATTTGCACATATCGACCAAACCGTGGAGTATGCACACGATCATATTGTTCGTTACACGGTATGTGATAGGCTACAAACCAACAGTGAATAGAAACAAATCTCTGGTCTTTTTTCGTGACCATGTTGAAGCCGACAACTCGTTCCGACTTCCTACTTGCCTCTATGGCTTCCGTACATTCAGTCTCAGTGACCTGGAAGCATGGGGGGGGGTGAGCTGATGACCAATTTATGTACTGACGCGTAGGTAACCGTCCGTGACTCCTCAGCTATTAGTCTGTACGCGGAACATACAGAGACAGACAGTTGGATCATACTACGTGTTAGATCTCCTCACTGCAGTCAGTGTAGAGAACATTCGGACGTCGTGATCACAATTCCCCCCCCCCCCATATTCTCTTCTCCTACCAAACATCCGACTATACATCCCCATTTCTTCGTGAAACCCAATCTACAACTCGTTCCGTCCTGCGTTCCCTAAAATCGTTATTACCTCGCATTCCCACGATCCCAAATTGTCTACATCTGTGGAATTTTGCTTACGATTGTCAACATTATGCCCTGCACCGATTAAGATCGTTTGGTGACTTTCACTCCGCACCGCTTGTCTGTCTGTTGACCTTCTGTCCCCACCGATTATGCATATCTGACCCTTCCTTCCTTTGTGTATGTGCATCTGTGACTCAGTTGATGAACGCTTCAAACAGGGCAAATTCACTTTCCCTTGTGGCTGACCCAATCCGCATTCCTTTTGCGTGCTCAACTAATCCCACCGCTTTACCCGTCTTATAAACACACCGTGTACCTTACAGCGGACGCTCTGAAGCTGAACTTGTTGATTCGGACAAAACGATTGTCATTGTAACTGTTCTGAGTTTGGAAGCCTAATCGTTGAGGTATTTATTGCATGTGGTCATTTATTCACTTGTATATAGTACCGTTATCCAGTTCCGGCCTTGATGTTTCTTTAATTCCGTTGGAAACGCGTCACTCGAACCTTCCAGGCGATTTTTGTTGCTTACAATCAGTCATGACTCGTTGTGACAAGCGTTGCCCATAGTGACTCGATGGCTAAAGATGTGGAGGTTTCTGCTAACATCCCAATGGCCCCTGGTTCGGGTGCCTGTACTATCTCTACCTGATAAGATCAAACAGTTCGAGACCAGTCGTGGAGTTCAGTGTTTTCGAGTCGGCAACACGTAACATTCATCTCTTTCAATTACGGTCCGAGTTATGGAATTGACCAAGCTTCGCTGCTATGCGGATCGCAGTCTGCATTGAGATTGCGCGTCGCGAGCCATTCACACTACAAATGCCATAAAATGACCCCCCCTTCTTTCACCTCTCTTTTGCAATTTGCACCAGCGGGCTGTTTGCACATAGCCCCGAATTTCGCTGTGAATTCAGCCTCGAAATAACCGATATGCTGGTGCGGGCTCCTTGGGTTTTTCGTTGTTGTATGCTAGCCAACTGTTTCTCACTTCTCTACTCCCTGAGAGTCACTCCGTTTTCCTCAATTTAATTCACGTGTTATGCATAGATGTCTCTGTTTATCACATTGAAAGATCCAACGCTCTGTTGCCCGGTTGCTTACTTCCTTCATTTTACGCAAATGTCGACTTCTTTGGCGTATATCAGTCTTCTATTGCGATTATGATTCCTGGTAACATTTACTTGTGTTTTTGTGTGATTTATTTCAGGCGGAGAAGTGCTTTGTTGAAAAACAGGTGGAGCGAAGAACTTACCAAACACAGTGCTTTTGTTTGGAAGAGGCCCGCACCCGTTTGAACACTCGGCTTGATGGCGTCAGCCGTAGCGACGAGAAGTTTTTAGAGCTCGTTACTGAGCTGCACGAAGTAAATGTGACACTTGGTTCAGTTGCAAATCGTGTCAAACCATTTCAGCTAACCTATTGCTTTCTGTTCAGACTATTATTAGGATCTAGGAATTTCGTACTCGTTGGCATGGTCTAGCGCACTCACACAGATTTGCGGACTACAACCGGACTGTTCGAACCACTTCCTCACCGGGCAGGTGTTCCTTCGTAGTCTCGGTCCCCTAAAGGAGTTTCTCAGCAGGGATTATTCACCTGTTGATCGCTTCTCCGAGCTTGCTAAAGTGATTGCATATGGTTCACCACCATACGAGGTGGCATCTTCAGTGCGGTGATATGCAGTGTACAATGCTGCTTTATTGAATCGTCAGTTTGTGATCGACGGGCAGGTGACTTTTGAAAGTGGCAATTTCGATTTGCGCCTCGTGATCTCTGCCTATTCTCTTCTGCGGCTGAACCATGGCTTTCTATACACCGGAGATCTTTCTTTCTGAGCTTATGGTACACGGGATCGATGTCGATGCACATGTTGATCGAATTATTAGAGAAGTACCATGCTTGTAGGAATTCTCTTCCTTTCTGTGTTGTTGCTTGGGCTAGAATCTCCGTTTTGTTCCAATTGAAGCTATGTCCCTCCTCATCCGAATTTCAAACATCCCTTCACACGAAAGGTACACATACGGACCGAACTTTGAACTTCAACAGCAACAACCAAAACTGCCACAAAATAAGCTGCGTGCGGACGCTATTTCGCAGGATTGAAACACACTACAGTACAGCGGAAGCCAAATGGGAAGAAGAGAATCACCTAATCGATTCGTTTGAGCGCAATGAATACCCATGCAGCTTCATCCGCAGATGTCTAAATCACAAAATACAAACAGCGAGCCGATGCCAAATGCAAGTAAGAGAGTCGTTTTGCGGGATATGAAGAACATACCTGAAATGACTGCTAGTTTGCTCAAACAACACCGCATGGTGGTCGCTCACAAACCAACCGCTTCTTTGAGAAGAATACTGTCAAATCCAAAGGACTATCGGAAAGCACAAGGACGAACAAACGTCGTGTATGAAATAAACTGCAATAATTGTGAAATGAACTATGTGGGATAGACAGGAAGGAAACTATCCACAAGGATACAAGAACATCAGAGGGCTTGTAAAAAAGAGTATGCATCGTCTCTTGTCTGAGTGCATGTGGATGAGGAGGGACATAGCTTCAGTTGGAACAAAACTGAGATTCTAGCCCCAGCAACAACACAGAAAGGAAGAGAATTCCTACAAGCATGGTACTACTCTAATAATTCGATCAATATGCGCATCGACATCGACCCCGTGTACCATAAGCTTAGGAAGAATGATCTTCGGTGTATAGAAAGCCATGGTTCAGTTGCAGAAGAGAATGGACAGAGATCATGAGGCGTAAATCGAAATTGCCATTTTCAAAAGTCACCTGCCCGTCGATCACAAACTGACGACTCAATAAAGCAGCATTGTACACTGCATATCACCGCACTGAAGATGCCACTTGGTATGGTAGTAAACCGTATGCATTCATGTTGTATGCAATCACTTTATCAACCTCGGAGAAGCGATCAATGGGGGATCAACCAACTCGGGCTACCGGTGTTTCAAAGTATTTCGACCAGGGATTGTCTTGTTTTCACACACCTAATTTCATCACAGCGCGCTTATCCCGCTCTCCATTCATCGCAGTTCGGTGCACTAGTTATGATTAACAATTGATCTTTCCTGTCTGCAAATGTGCCTATTTCTAAGTACTCCCGTAAACCTAGCGCCAATTTATTAGTTTACTAGCTATCATCATATAAAACTGACCTCGCTGACTATGTTGCATTAGCACCCATAATGAGTACTGCTAGTGCCGCAGCCCCCCACTTTGCAATCGTCGCTGACTTCCTTGGCTGCTTCACTCTATATAATTAGCTTCCATTTCGCTGATGACAATACTTCCTGTTCATCTTTCGGCATCGTGTAACCACAATCCGATCATTTGTACTCAACCAAGTATGCGTGCACCATTAGGTAATTGACTGTGACTCAAAGTAAGGTTATGTTGAGATCTTTCAGTCTGAATTGAATTTCTGCGTTGGAATTACCCTTGCTAATAGTGCGGTATACTCAGACAGATGGACATCGCGGACATATTACGACAGCTTGACATATTGTTCATGGCGGAACAGTTTTGTAACTTCAGACTTCACTGAGCGCTAGGATAGTACCCTTCAATTCTGTATAGTCCCTTGTGCTGTGAAAACATCTTCTCGATGCCAACCAACTTGGGTGCGTTTTGGTGTGGCAGCTCAACAATATCTGAACCACCGGTTTGTTGTCAGAACCACTCCACGGTGCCATTTTGCTTTCACATGACATTGCTCTTGTATTTGGCGTTGAATTGCTTTCAACTTCGCTGGACTACCGCTGATGATTATCGTATTTTCACCATTTCCTTTTTCATCACGTTGCTTCACTTACGCCGAGGTAGCTCTCTCGGCAACACAAAGCTGCAAAAGATAAGTTATCCGTAACGGAGTTGGAGGAGCAGACTGCTTTCGAACACTTTTCGAGATGTCTTCGCTTGTCACAAGCTGAAGAGCGCATTCATGCCAGCAGAATGAAGCAGTGGTCGATCGGATTTAGTGTTTTGGCTGGTGTGATTGGTTTCGGTGCTACTTGGATCCGCTTCTCCATGGTACACCCTACTCCACCGTCATCGTCTAAACTGCTTTCGGCCCATGGTCAAGTAAGTGTGCTGCTGTACCATTCTCGCTTGGTCTTTCCATTGTTCACTCTCCACTGTTTTCCCGAGACAGACGTTGTCCATGTAGGTCCTATCCCCGTGCCATCATCTGTGTAGAGATTCGAATGAGACGTGGACCTTCATACTTTCAGTGGTTGTAACCGTTCCACAGTGGTTTAGCTCCCTCACTTCTATGAAATTGCACAAATTTTAGCAGAGATTATTAGAGTGTCACTTCTGTACAATTGTGCAAGATTTCTGATCTAAAAGGGAATAAGATTGTCCGTTAGTTATGCATTCTTGCACCTTTGGTTGTTTGAGTGTTCTATGGCGCTGAATACTTCGAATGTTGAAACCCAACTCCGAATTAGCGTGAAATCGAAGTTGCTTTGTTGTCGAGGTCAACGTCATGTTTTATGCCTGTCGTTTCTTATCCTAATAACCATATTGTACTTCACACTTATGTTTCTACTCATGCTATTTTTCCTTACCTTTTATAGATCTCGGCACACGCTGGGGATTGGTCTACCCATTTGCCCGAATCCACTTCTCAGGTATTACAACCTCCGACGCTCCTCGCATTGCAGCGTATAAATGCAACACGAGTTACTCAATGGTCACTGATTGCTTACTTCTGCACATATCTCTACATAATCTACCGGCTCTTCGGAGTTCTTTCATAACGCAATGGCCGGTTCGTTTTCTTTGCGCATTTTACGCAACTCTTCATTTTTTCTCTTCGAGCTGAACATCGTCGCCGAATCCTTAGTTGTTTGTACCTTCTCGTGATAGTTGTTGCAGCTACCTCATTGGTTAATAGCCAGGTGGTTATCCTCTCCATTTAAGCAATATGAAATACCATATATAGTCTGCTATGACTCAGCTCACACTACCCACAATAATTATTATCTTTTCTTAGGGGCGGGCGTCCTCAGGGTCTATTTAGCCCACACGCGACTGATGATGGTCGCGCGCCAGCGAAGCGCCGTTACGGCGTAAAGCTAACGATTATTTATAATTATTATTTTGTGTTTTCTATACGCCTTTAGTCATTGTTATTTCTCATGAGTTGTGGGGATATAGGTGCAACTTTTCGACTTAACTTATCGCAGCGAATTTTCAGCCAACCAGCTTTCCTCACGTCTGGAAATTCATCAGACTATCGTTTCGACCTTCTGGGCGTCTTCAGTGGTACATGTTCTTCGGATCTCTGATGGGTTCCGACCCCATAACTTCCGGATGCCGGCAGCTTGTGCCGCTAAGCGATAGGCGACAGTAGCAGACTTGCATAGCTGACAGTTAATTACAGTACAGAGAAACTCCTCCTCCACAGTCACTATGCGGAGAGTCGTAGCTCTGGGACCAACCTCTGTGCACAGTTCCTAACTGGCGCATGACAGTAAAGAAGGTCGAAATGACCGTCTGGTGCTTTTTCAGACGTTTGAGAACCCACCTGGCTGTGAGGTGGCTGCGATGGACTACACCATTATTATTTCATCAGCAGGACCTTTGTTGCACGATACCATTACCGATCAGTGGTACTAAACTGTGGCTCAGTATCCTACTCGTTTCATTCCGGATATTTGAACGGTCATCGGGCTAACGACTCACTTCTAGAGGTATTTGCCTTCATAATGTATCACCACTCTGATCCTGATATGTAATGATTCGGGAGCCATGATCATACATCGTGTAAGGAACGGCATGTTTTGAATGCTTCATCTTACGGCACAATAGCTGATGTGTTTTCCACCTCTAGCTAAGGTGTATATTGATGATGATGGTTGTTTCAATTCGAAAGATTTGTCCTGGTACGTGTTATTAAGAAAAATCTGGTTATCTTCTCTGTATGCATATCTCCCCGCCTAATACGATAAGCATGAAGAACATCCTCCTAGTGTTTTGAAAAAATTCTTGGACTACCACACAATAAACTGGGTCGATAAAGTGCAGTTTATTTTCCATTTCAGCAACCGGGTGTTCGGAGTTATTGGACTCTTCTTGTGCCTTGGTCTCTATGGTGGAAGAGCAGCAGTAACACCTTACATCTTAATTGATCCAGCTTATGGCACTTACAGGCACTAGCCAACTGCTGCTTAGTTTATCACTACCACACAAACTCTTTCAAGGCACTCGAATCAAAGGTTAATTTTAGTGACCAATATTACTGCTTACTGCTGTCGAGTTCGCCGACTTTGCCATGCTATGTAGCTGTTTGGCCGCCGCCAATGCCTTCACTGGCAAAGACCCCCTTTGCCTATTTTCTTCTGCACATGCTTAATATCAATCACTGGTGATTACCCTGCTCATATCTCAACTGTTTTTCAAACACACTGTTTGTATTTTTTGTCTTGTTCTTTGTTTGTAGGGTTTGAACTCCGCGATCGGTGAACTACGGACCGTGAGTGATCAACTGCATCAGGTATCTTCTCCATCTTATCCTTTGTGCTCGCGAATTCCATCATTTTGTCAAACACTTTCAACTAAGTTTTGGCTTCCGACCAGACATTCTCCCACTTTGTGTTTATTCTTGGGTTCCTGTTTCACTGTATACTGACGCGATCCAGTTTGGACACACGAACTATAGGCCCGTCACACTATGCAAATTGACTTTGTGCTACCGATTTTCCTGTCACCACCGGCATTCGGATACATTATTAGTGCGCGTGGTGCATCCTGCTATCGATGCGAATTATGCATCTACATACAGGTGGTCTGATGTGTCGCTGTTCTGGGTGGAGCGCGTCAGCACATTAGACACGGTTCGTTTGTGGTTAGATGCGGATTGTTGTAGCCTGTGTGAACGAAGTAAGAAAGGAGGCATCAGCAGTACGCAGTGCCTATGCTTCGCTGCCGCGCCACCACCGCCAGTTGCACGTGGGCTAAGGATACTGCGAGTGTCGTTCGGTCCATACGCAGGCTCGAACCCACATCCTCGGATGACAAGGCAGGCTTGTGATCATTGAGGCTACAGGCCGGCGTAGCCTGTGTGGGAATAACGCACTCAGTTCCTTGGATGAGTGAAACCGTACGGAATTGGAGCATCTGCCCATGCAAGCCATTAGAATCCTTACGGTCTCAGTGAGCATTGCGATTGCCACGGAGGACAGAAGGTTTGGTTCCATCGGGGATGCTTTCTTGCTTAGCATTTTAATTCACTTTATTTGTGACCTATGCTCCGCATGCCCAACCACGCTGGTTCCCACCGCATTGACCCTCGGCTCCACAGCGTAACTGTAACCAAGTGACAATGATGGGGCTGTGGTGTTCCGAAGGAAAGTGAGCAACGTTCAACCGATGCATGGCATACAAGTGTTGTTGCATTCGCCTGGTGGAGTAATTGGGGCAGGTTGCCATAATGCCTGACTACGGTGTGTTCCGCTGTGTTTTTACTCCTTGACGCGGCAAATCATCGAGAAGGGGGCTTTCATCCGTACTATCCGTATGTCTCACCTCCATGCATTTGATTGGTTCGCATCGTTTACCATGTCGTTAATCATTCAGCGCATAGCTTTACCGAAATGATTAGAATATAGGCAAGTTGGGCATTCGATACTTTCAAGTTTAGCAGGATATCCACTGTTGCATCAATTTGTTCGCTGCCAGGTACCAGTTGGTGGGCTTACTCAGCTTCCCCGAGCGGTATGTGCAGTGTCGCATGTGCATCATATCCCGACTTGGACAGTGTTCGTCCCACGGCGTTGTTTGCATTGCGTTCCCATGCTGGTGTGAAATCGTCCCTATAGACGCTGTGAGTGAGACGCTGTGGTGTTTTGAATGTGCTTCCGATTCCCCTCTCATCTGGGATATGTTTAGTAGAGTTGATACAATCAACCAGATAAGTGAAACGTGTCGCCACCTTGACGTGTTCTTGCGGTGGTGACCAGAATAGTTGACGCGTCTAGCCAGTGTCCTGAGTTTTCCGTGATTGGCGACAGCACTTGTTCAGCGATTGTGTGTGAGTGCAGTTGAAGTACTCCCTCTGCGAGCTATGCGAATAGCTGGGAAATGCGCATGTTCAGAGGCAGTCGCTGGGCGCATTCCATTCTTTATCGTTTCAATCATGTTGCTGGGAATATGAGGAGCAACATGACAGTCGAAATGAATGCCACTTATGGTTGCGAACTCAACGGACGGTTGCACTGTATCCAGATTCATCTTATGGTATTTTGAGTACTGAGTTCATTGGCATGCTCATCAGTGGAAGATAATTGCGAATCGGTCCGGGTCTTCATGTTTCCAATATTTTGTTAATGGGGATTTTAGTCGCTCGGGAGACATGTTTACTTGATCATTGTATGCAGATGGTGCTGATTGTAACGCATCCTGGCATTGGTCTTGGTGAGTACCTCTGAGGTTTTCGTCCTCCTTAGGCATGCTCTTCCTTCACATACCTTCAGATTCTGGTGGATTCGATCATGAGTTTTCTGACCTTTTTCTGCACCGGTGTTTCTTATCTCACTGGCCTAGTGTCTGCGACTATATTTTTAACCAACCGTTTTAAACCTATTAGTCTTTACGACTACTTTTGATCGGTGGAGCTTCATCCAGGGACTGGGTAAGGTCTGCATTAGGCGTTATCTGTATGCAGGCTCCATTCCTCTGGATGTCCGTTTAACTTGAGCCCCATCGGACGACATCAACGCCCGCTGGAATGACGTTTGGTCTGGTTTTATTAGGATGGTGCCTAAGGTTCTTTGTTTGATTACAAATTTCTTCGCAAGGCAGTTGTTTGTTTGCTCCTGTATCGGACAGCAAAGCCTACTATTTCGCCTGCACATTCGCTTACAAATGCATCTGTCCAGAGACATATTTTTCAGAGATTAGACGGTCAGGTACGTTGCAAACTATTACTTTTCTGGCACAGCGAGTGCGTTGCCTAATTGCAGCTGTTATGGTAAGCAAATGACCACCAGCCACTCCAACTTACTAGGTGAATTTGAATGCTATAAGTAGATTCTGACTTGATGACCGTAACCGTCCCCCGTAGCTCAGAGGTCTGAACCACAGACTGGCAGCAGTCGATTTGTGGGTTCGAGTCCTAATGGCGTCCGATAGAATGCATACTGCTGACGATCCCCGAAAGAATGAAACGACCGTACATTGCTTTTCCAGGTTTGTGCTGGCTGACTGAGTATAGATGCGATAAAGTTCTAAGTGCAACTCTAAGTTCGTCAGAAACTGTGGAGTTGAATGCCTTCTAACTGAGTAGACGGTGCGATTTTACCACAGTTTCATTAATTGGCTCTTTTTCGTTTTTGAGCGCAATTAGCTGATTTTGTAGTGTATTAGCTGCTGGCTTGCCGAACTACCTCCTCGTGGTGCCAGCTGGGTGGTTCGGGTGTACCCCGTTCCTGCAAAGTGTTCGGCGCCAATGTTCCATCTCGGTGGGACGTTGTATTCCAACAGGTGTGCTGACTTCATGGGGAGTATTGGGCCCCTGTTTGGTAATCTACCAAACAGTGGCGCATGAACTGAACATTCAGTCAACGCCTCCCAATGGGCGCGATTCCCTAAATTCGGCCCGCTGCCTTGCGGGTAGGTTATTTAGCCAAAGGCTCGGGGTGGAGTCCCCTAAGTCAACTCCCTACCTCGGCTTGTTCAACCGGATAGTATCACGCCCTCTCGCAAAACCATGGACTGTATTACAACTTGCTCATCAGCTGCTATTTCTGCTAGTCACTTTCACGCGACTTCATCACACGCCAATTGTTTGTTTGTTAACAATCCTCACTTTCCGTTACCCGATTCATGTGTTCAACAATCTGGCTGCAATTCCGGTTGCACCGCAGACCAAGAAGTTCAACCTATGGCTCTCCTTCGTCTCCGATCCTCGTTCCGTCTGGCGTGCTCCAACGTTCGGACACTCATGCAGATTGGACAGCAAGCTGGTCTAGCGCGCACCCTAGATTCCCTAGATATTGATGTCTGCTGCCTTTCAGAAACCCGATTGCAAGATCCCAGCACTGTGCTTACATTGACATCCCCCACTGACCACGAAGCCAAATGTCACCTGCGTCTTTCTGGAGATCCATCAGCGGGTCTGGCTGGTGTAGGTATAGCACTAAGTGACAAGGCCGAGGCGGCACTACTGGACTGGTTCCCTATTAACAGCCGACTATGTGCAGTTCGGATTCGAGGTTCATGTAGAATCAACAGGCATCGCGAAGAGAGACAACTTGTTTGTGATCTCCGTGTACGCTCCAACTAACTGCAGTGGCGACTCAGTCAAGGACAACTTCTACCGGGATCTACAACGGCTCTTGACTAATGCTAACAAGTCGGATGTTGTTATCCTTGCTGGGGATTTTAATGCACGGGTTGGCCGCCTGTTACCATACGAACGCCACCTTGGTGGTCATCACTCGCTCGATGAGAACCACTCTGATAACGGAGGGAGACTTTTCACATTGTGCGAAGACAACCGTCTGTTTCTTTCGAGCACTAACCTCAGGCGTACGAAGAAGCTTTCCGCAACGTGGCGTCTCCCTTCTTCAACTCAACCGTGGTCTCAAATTGATTACATTGCAATTAGCTTCAGATAGCGCGGCAGGATGCTATACTGCAGGTCCTTTTGGTCCACCTTCATTGACTCAGATCATGCTCTGGTCTGCGCGAAAATCTGTATGTGTTTTGGAGGATCACGAAGCACTGCAAGATTGATGTAAACAGATTAACTGATTCCTCTGTCCAGGCGAGCTATCAGTCTTCATTGGCATATGCACTCAGTTGCAATCCACCGCAAGAAGTGGAACAACACTGGACTTGTATACGGAAGGCAATGACCATTTCCGGACGGTTATGCTGCGGTCTAACTCGACGCCCCTCTAAGGCTTGGATCTCTGCTCGTTTTCTGGAGCTGTTCGAACGCCGCAAAGATATCCCTGCGGAATCAGATTGCAACGAGCGGCGCCGTTCTGCCAACCTGTTGTTCAAACAAAGCCTGCGTAAGGATCGCGAGACATGGTGGTCTGAGCGTGCTTTAGAGATAGAGACCGCTGCCCCCTCTGGCAACACTCACAGGCTTTTCCAACTCATTCGGTCCACTGGCCTCAGGAAACCTGGTGTCAGTGAGGTCATTTGTGAGGTGGATGAGTCTCCGATCACCAACCAACAGAGGCGTATGGACCGCTGGGCCGAGCACTTTCACTCGCAGTACGCCTTGTTGTCCGCCCTGGCTCGTCCCTCTGAATCCACCCAACGAAGCGGAAGTCTGCCTCGAGATTTGATGCTTGAAGCGCTTCAAGGCTGCCGCATTAGACGGACTTCCTCCGGAACTATTCAGGTACGGCGGTGTGGCGATCATTAACCAGGTGACCACGCTGTTCGCAAAAATCTGGCATGAACAGAAAGTACCTTCCTCTTGGTGCGAATCAGTTATTGTCCCGATGTTCAAGAAAGGCGCTCGCACTTCATGTGCTA